CTCTATTTACAATAGACTGTGGCTAAACACAGACTCAAAGGAGCCAGTCACCTCACTTCATAACTGATTCCCAGTCAATGCATTTGGCAGAATACTGATTCAAAGTTGACCTGGAGGGGGGCAAGCCAGGGCTCACCAAGCTACGGCCTGTAGGCCAAACCTAGGCTATCACTTGTTTTTGGATGGCCCACAACATAAGAATGATTTTTACATTTTAAAAAGTTGGGGGGAAAATAGAATAATATTTGGTGACATGTTAAAAATTACATAAAATTCAAATTGCAGTGTCCATCAATAAATCTTTATTGGAACACAACTGTGTTCATCTGTTTATGTGTCTATAGCTGCTTTTGCATTTTAACAGCTGAGACTATAGGGACTGTAAAGCCTAACATATTTATTATGGCCCTTTATAGAAAAAAATTGCCAATCTGTGTTTTGAGCCCTTACAAGAGACTGCTCCAAATAGGAGAAGTGAGTTCTCTGGAGATTCACTAAAAAGGGGAAAGAGAGGGTAAATTAATGAATCCAGTTAGGGTATAATTTTATACTATGCACTAACATTATCAACCTAAGGGTAAATGAAGTTTCCATTCAACAGAAAACTCTAAGAAATATGTGAATACTAAACACGTATGCTACTGCTCTTCTAAAACCTATTTTGTCTCCTACCACCATGCTCTTGTTCAAGTTGATCTCTCAATGTAGAGGACTGGCTTCCCAGGTTCACGTATTGTCCCCTCTTTGAGGCTGAGCTCCCTTGCTGCCTGGTCCTTAGAGCTGAAAACAGTACCTGGCACATATTAGGGCTCCATAGTATTTGTCAAGTTAAATGCATGAATAAAGCTCAAATATCATCTTCACCATAAAGTCTTCCCTGATTCCCTTCAGCTGGAAATAATTTCCCCCCAGAACCTCTACAATACTTTCTGTAGACCTGTTCTTAATTTATGAAATTCATCCTAGCACTCTGGGAGGCCGAGGCGGGTGGACTGCTCAAGGTCAGGAGTTGGAGACCAGCCTGAGCAAGAGTGAGACCCTGTCTCTACTAAAAATAGAAACAAATTAATTGGCCAACTACAAATATATAGAAAAAATTAGCTAGGTGTGATGGCGCATGCCTGTAGTCCCAGCTACTCGGGAGGCTGAGGCAGGAGGATCGATCGTTTGAGCCAGGAGTTTGAGGTTGCTGTGAGGTAGGCTGACGCCACGGCACTCTAGCCTAGGCAACACAGTGAGACTATGTCTCAAAAAAAAAAAAAAATTATGAAATTCATAGGCCTGGCACAGTGGGTCACGCCTATAATCCTAGCACTCAGGTAGGCCGAGGCGGAAGGATGGCTTGAGCTCAGGAGTTCGAGACCAGCCTGAGCAACATAACAAGACCCCATCTCTACCAAAAAGACATTTTTAAAAAAAATTTTCAGTATATATTTCTAAAAGGTACTTTTCTTTAACATGGTCATTTGCATTTTAATTTTAACTATACTACTGTACCTGCCTATATTCAGGTTTGACTGCTAAGTAATCATAAACTATTCCAGAATCAGATCAGGTTAAGACTTAACCATAGGTTAAGATCTGATATGACCTTGTGATGATGCCCTTGCTAATTCATTCCTCATCATTAGCATCATGTCTCTATTATTCAATTTGTTTACGCCTTTCATGATTTGCTCCTATGTATTTCACCAACCTCATTCTCTACTGCTCTTCTCCCCCACAAATACATAGACACACACACACACACATACAACTTATGCTCAAGGAATACAAAGGACTTGTTCCTTATATATGTCATATTTTTACCTCTTTATGCCTTTGCAAATGCTGTTCCCTCTGCCTCGAATCACTACATTCCCCATGTCACAGGGAAATTCTTATTTATTCTTCAAGGTGCAGATCAAATGACCTCCCCTATACTTACTATTTCCTCCCTACCCCACCCAGAGAATTAATCCCACTCCTCTCCTAGAAGTAAACTCCTTCAGGGCAGCTCCCTTAACTGGATGAATTATCTTTACATCTCTGCATCTAGCTAAATGTTAAATGTTTCATGAATTCAGTAAAGTTGAATGCAAACAGATACTGAGACAAGGAATGATACAATAAAACAATTCCAACTTTGTATGCTATTAGTCTAAAATTAAAATCCTTAACCAGCAAGGATGACTATATCCATGAGACAGAATCAGCATCATATATTCTAAAGTTAGAAGAAACCTCAAAACCATCATCTGGGAGCCAAGTACAGTGGCTCATGCCTGTAATCCCTGCAATTCTGGAGGCTGAGGGAGGAGCATTTTTTGAGCCCAGGAATTTGAGATCAGCCTGGGCAACACAGTGAGACCCCATCTCTAAAAAAATAAAAAAATAAGAAAAATTAGCCAGGCCTGGTTGTGGTTGTAGTCTGTAGTCCAAGCTACTCAGGAGGCTGAGGCAGGAGGATAGATTGAAGCCAGGAACTAGAGGATGCAGTGCGCTATGATCACACTACTGCACTCCAGCCTGGGCAACAGAGGAAAGACCATGTCTCTTTTAAAAAAAACAAAACAAAAAAACTATTATCTGGGTCTGGTCCCATGCTTTTCTGTAGAAACAATATTAAGATACTAATACAGGTATATAAGGAAGTATATTCTTCTGTATTAGCTTTACCCGAAGTCACAGAGCTAACTAGGTAAATGTTAAGAGAGCTAAAACTTGGATCTCAAATGCACAGAGACAACATAGAAGAAAAGGCACATAAATTAAGCAGAACTAAATAAGATTAAGCATCTATAAGAACCTAAAGTGGACCCCAGGAAATGGCAAAGATTTTCATCAAGAATTTGGGCCAAAGTTCTGCCAGCTGGACAACACAATATGGGTGATGATTCACTAACAGTGAAAAAAGAAAGTCTGTACTTTCTTTGGGAGACCAGCAGATAGATATAGTTTTCATAAACAGTCAAGTTCCCATCAAGCCAGAGAACTCTAGGCAGCTCCATATCCTACTTTCTCTGTGGCTTGCAAGCCACCCCTTTGGCCCTGGTCCAGCAGGAATCAACCTAATTCATATGACATGGCCGGGGGGTGGAGTGAGCTCACTATAAAGGCCTAGGAGACAGCAGGTCTATCAGCAGAGAACCAGAGCTTAATGCAATGCAGTTCTGCTGAGCATGGAGGATGAGCCATAGGGAAGTAGAGAGGAAGCCAGGAACAAACACAGGATGTCAGAGGAGCTAAAATGAGATAAATGAGATAGGCTACAGAACATTTTAATGTGCATGAGAATATGCATGAGGCAACACAACCTAACTAAGAATGGGCAATACTCCTGAGAATGACTGACAGGCCCCCCGAGCCTCAGACCTAGTAAGAAGACAAAGCCAGTCGGTCACCAGACCCCGGCACAAGACCTAAAAGAGAAACAAATGGGCACTGTCTTCAAAAGCCTCCCAATCTTGTTGAGATAATCAGAGAAATCATTATTGTGCACGTTTTTTCCAACCATAGGTACCAGCAATAGCTTCAAGAAGACCATCAGCTTCAAATATAAAAGGAAATATATATTTCCCCCAGTAGAGCAAGGATTGATTTCCACATCCCAGCTGAACACTGGTCCTGACTTATGGTTCAGAATCATTGACACCTACCTCCTGGGTTGCAATGTGTTCCCAGAGACAGAGAAAATAGGGTGCTTGAGACAAGTCTTACATTGAATTTACTTGGAAGGCTGAATTTTTCCCCACACCCTCCATGGGAGACTGAGCTGGATTATATCACCTTAATTCTGCCCATGAAATGCTCATGCCAGGGGATGTGCCCTCCACCCCCTCGGATTACAAGGGTTTCAACTCCCTCCCTACTTGATTGGGCTGCAGAGCAAACTCGGCCTAAGCTTCCTGTAGCTCTTCCCAACCTGCACTATGAAATCCTCTGCAGCCTTGTTCACTTCCGATTCCTTCTTTTCTTCATTATCTCTGCCAAGAGTGACTCAAAATTCATGCATATTCAAAGTTCTCAAGGCCATAGGGGGGGAAAATGTGCTGAGTAAGCTCAGTTGCTTCAAAGTAAATTGTGTACATTAGAATTTCACACAAAGAAAAACCGTTGCTGGGGAATGGACTCTGGCTTCTTCACATCTGGCTCTTGGGGGGAGGGAGGGGACAGGGCTTGGTGTGGAAGAAATCCTGGTGGGGGGGGAGTCTATGCTCACACATAGCAGTCCTCAGGCCCAGGCCCAGCCACTGCCTTCTGCAGCTCAGAACAGGACTCCTGCCTGGCTGGCCTCCAGCTGTCCCTCTTGGGCAACCAAAGGGCCAAATGATAAAAAAAGCAACTGCTGACAAGCCCTTCTCATCCCTAGTTCCAAAGTACAAAAGGAAGTTTTCCTTCAGGGCCAGTCACAGGAGGCCTGATTTTGGATAAGAGGAAAAAGACTCCTTGCCCAAACAAGCTCTCTCCCAACGTCTCCATCTATGCACCTCTCACAAGTCATCCGCGATTGAGACCATCTTACCTCCTTCACCTTTGGCTGTCTTCACCTGTGTAAGAACAGATAAAAGCCAGGACAAAGGTGGTGGGGGGCAAGAGTAGTTGAGAGAACAAAGCTTATTGGGCTTTGGGAGGAGGGGCAAGTCTGTTCAGGCCCCTGGGCACTGAAACAGTGCATAACAGATTCTGAGAAGCTTCTGAATCAGAGAGAGTCAAAGAGCCTCCATATTTGGATGGTGTGGTACATGATACTGGAGATAAAAAAATGAAAAAAAAAAAAAGAGTCTCCATGTAACTAGGGATAGAGTCTCTCCTTGGTCAATGCACTTACCATACATTTTATGATTTTATGATTTTTTTTAAAGTCATTCTTCTGGGAACCCGAGATTTATGTATGTCACCTAGGTTACAGCAGGCAATTTTTTTTTTATTCAGGTGAAGAGTAAACTGCTGACTGGTAGACATATAACAACCAAATGCATAAGCCAAATTAACAGCAACAAAAGATGAACCGGACTCACGTTTCTCCAGTGCTGGGTTCCTAGGAGACGACAGTCTTCTCCTCCTGGTCCTTTCCTGAATAAAAATGCAGTACAAATTTCTGGCTATAGATTTCTTTAAGAAATGATTGTGCAAGAGCAAGAAAAGCCTAGAAAGAGAGAATGAGGGAATGAACATTAAGGTGTAGACATATAACAAGAAAGAGAGAGACTTCTGGCTTCAGTCGCCCTCCTAGCACAAAACTGGTACAAAACAGGTCAGATGTAAAGTTTCAAGTTTCCTAAGACTGCATCCTCAGAGAAATGCTTCACTCCTACCTTGCTCAAGCACTGGGAAGGTGGCAGAGGGAAAATATATTCATTTCTTTGGTTTGATTCTGCAAAAGCTTCAGGTCTGACGGGGAACCGCCTACACCTGATTAGCAGGTACACAGACAAGGGAAAGGAAAACACTGCTACTTGACTTTTTCCTTTTAATTGGGCATGTATTAAATCATGTGACAATTTAAGAAGTCCCTTCTCTTTTGTTTCACTAACATGAAAATGGCAGGACTGTGATCATTACTATGTTGAAATCCTACCTGGAAGTTTTAATAAAATACAGAAATCTTGAAATTTACATTCCTCCCTGGCCTACCATCCAATACCAAACATTAACTCAAATGAATCACAGACCTAAACACAAAAGCTAAAACTAGAAAGCTTCTAAAACAAAAGAGAAAAATTTCTCAACTGTGGTTGGTAGCCTCTCTAATGGCCTCCAGTGGACCTACCTCCTGTATTACCCTCCCCTTGACGTGGGCTGAAATTAGTGACTTTTTTTTAAAGTCATTCATGTCCCCTGCCACCACCACCACCTCTCTTGCTCTGAGGGAAGGCACCTGCTATGCTGTGAGCTGCCCTATGGAGAGGCCCACGTGCCAAGCACTGAGAGGTCTCCAGCCAACGGCCAATGGGGAACTGAGGCCCCCAGTTCAACAATCCTCCCCCAATAAAGCATTCAGATGAGTTGGCCTTGGCCCAACTGCAACCTCTAAGAGACCAAGCCAGAACCACTCAGTTTAGCTGCTTCCAGATTTTTGACCCACAGAAACTATGTCAAAAACAAAATAAATGTTTGTTGTTTTAAGCTGCTGAATGTTGGGCTAATTTGTTATACAGCAATATATAGCTAACACAAAACCTTGAGGGAGACAAAAATTTCTTAAATAAAACACAAAAAGCATGAATGATAAAAGCAAAAATGACAGATTTGACTCTATCAAAATTAAAAACTTCTGCCAGGCTCGGTGACTCACGCCTGTAATCCTAGCACTCTGGGAGGCTGAGGCGGGTGGATTGCTAGAGTCAGGAGTTCAAACCAGCCTGAGCAAGAGTGAGACCCGTCTCCACTATAAATAGAAAGAAATTAATTGGCCAACTAATATATATAGAAAAAATTAGCCAGGCATGGTGGTGCATGCCTGTAGTCCCAGCTACTCGGAAGGCTGAGGCAGCAGGATTGCTTGAGCCCAGGAGTTTGAGGTTGCTGTGAGCTAGGCTGATGCCACAGCACTCACTCTAGCCTGGACAACAAAGTGAGACTGTCTCAAAAAAAAAAAAAATTTAAAAACTTCTGTTCTTCAAAACACACCATTAAAGAAAAAAGAAAGAAAAGACAAGCCACAGAATGGGAGAAAATATTTATAATACATGTATCTGACAAAGGACTTGTATTCAGAATATATAAAGCTTTTTTTTTTTTTTTTTTTGAGACAGAGTCTCGCTTGTTGACCAGGCTAGAGTGAGTGCTGTGGCGTCAGCCTAGCTCATAGCAACCTCAAACTCCTGGGCTCAAGCAATCCTTCTGCCTCAGCCTCCCGAGTAGCTGGGACTACAGGCATGCGCCACCATGCCCAGCTAATTTTATATATATATTAGTTGGCCAATTAATTTCTTTCTATTTATAGTAGAGACAGGGTCTTGCTCTTGCTCAGGCTGGTTTCGAACTCCTGACCTCGAGCAATCTGCCCGCCTCAGCCTCCCAGAGTGCTAGGATTACAGGCGTGAGCCACCGCGCCCGGCTAAGAATTCTTCACCTTTTGATATAATGAGCTGAAAAAAGCTAAAAAAGAATAAAAAAAAGAGAAAAATTTAAAAAAAAGAATTCTTACAACTCGGTAAGACAAACAACCCATTAAAAATGATTAAATGATTTGAATAGATATTTCAAAAAGAAGATATGTAAACAAACTCAAAAGGATGACTAAAATTAAAAGAGTGACAATACCAAGTATTGGTGAAGACGTGGAACAATTATAACTCTTGTATATTGCTGGTGGCTATGTAAAATGGTATAACCATTTTGGAAAACAGTTTGGTAGTTTCTTATAAAGAAACATATATACTTACCATAAGACCCAGCAATCCCACTCTTGGAGATTTATCCAAGAGAAATGAAAACATATGCATGGCAGATTTATTTGTGATTACCGCAAACTGGAAACAACCCAAATGAACACCAAGAGATAAATGGATAAACGAATTGTGGTACATCCCTACAATAGAACACTACTCAGGAATAGAAAGGAATGAATTACTGATACATGCTACAACAAAGATAAATATAAAAACATTATACTGACCAAAAGAAGCCAGGCACAAAAGAGTACATATTATATGTACCATTTATATGAAACCCTAGAAAATACAGGCCGGGCGCGGTGGCTCACGCCTGTAATCCTAGCTCTCTGGGAGGTCGAGGCGGCGGATCGCTCGAGGTCAGGAGTTCGAAACAGCCTGAAGCAAGAGTGAGACCCGTCTCTACTATAAATAGAAAGAAATTAATTGGGCAACAAACCAATATACATAGAAAAATTAGCCGGCATGGTGGCACATGCCTGTAGTCCAGCTACTTGGAGGCTGAGGCAGCAGGATTGCTTGAGCCCAGGAGTTTGAGGTTCTGTGAGCTAGCTGACGCACCGGCACTCACTCCTAGCTGGCGGACAAAGGGAGACTCTGTCTCAAAAAAAAAAAGAAAAAAAAAAAATACAAATGCCATAATGACAAAGGTCAGATCAGCAGGACTAGGGGTAGAGGTGGCAGGCTGACTGGAGATGCCCTGGGAAACTTTTAGGAGTGATGGAAAGGTTTTATTGTGGTGGCATTATAAGTGTGTATACATTTGTTCAAATTCATCAAAATGTGCCCTTAAACTGGGTACACTCTATTGCATTAAATTGTATATCAATAAAACACCGAGTTTACAAAGTTGTTAGTCATGTATCAAATTTGAAAATTTTCAAAATCCTGACTACTTTGTTTCACCAACATAAAAGTGGCAGGACTGTGATCATTATATTGAAAACCTGCCTGTCTGTTGTAATAAAATACAGAAATCTTGGATTTTATAATTTTCTTGCCTGATCCTCAGTCCAATACCAGTCATCAACTATTCAAAGAGCAACTATAATATGCAAATCACATACAAAGAAAATATAGTAAACACTGGGTATCCATTCAAAGGAAAAGAACTCATTATATCAAAAAGATACCTGTACTCCTGCATTTATCACAGCACTATTCCCAAGACAAAGATATGGAATCAACCTAAGTGTCCATCAACAGGTAACTGGATAAAGAAACGGTGGTGTGTGTGTGTGTATACATACATATACGCACGCACACATACACATACACACACACACAGAGAATACTACTCAGCCACAAAAAAGAAAGAAATCATGTCTTTTGCAGCAACATGGATGGAACTGAAGGCCATTCTCTCAAATGAAACAATTCAAAAACAGAAAGTCAAATACCCCATGCTCTCACAAGTGGGAGCTAAATAATGTGTAAACGTGGACATGGAGAATGGCATAATAGACACTGGAGACCCAAAAAGGGTGGCAGGGTGGAAGAGGGTGCGGGAGGAGAAACTACTAAATGGGTACAAGGTGCACTATTTGGGTGACGGCCACACTCAAAGCCCAGGCTTCCCCACTACGCAATACATCCATGCAACAAAATGCACTTGCACCCCCTAAATCTATAAAGATTTAAAAAAGAAAATATAGTAAACAACTTTAATGAATGAAAGCATTATTTATTTAATTCCCAACTTGAAGTCGTATCTTTATAACCATCTATCTGGTAAGTACTCACTTAAAATTCCAATTCTAATGGGAAAGAAGATGACAAAGTCAGACAACTTTCAACTGCAAATTTCAAGGATTTTCCTAATTTTGCACTGCAGATTCTCCTATGCAGGATTGCATCATTCATTCACGCTGTTTGGTAACAGGCAGCTGCGGGGCAAGACAAGTGAAGCTACCCAAAAATCAAATTAGTGAAAAGCCAGTCTTGAAAGCCCAGGAAACAATTTGCCTATCCTGATTAAGAAAAAATAAATACAGAATCAGAGAGGTGCTGGACCAGGAAAAGGCAAGACGGGTAAGTCAGAGAGCTGGGCACACAGGGAGAGGACGTGCCGGGACTCACCCGGCGCCGCAGCTCCTTCCTGGGCCGCCGCCGCCTCCCGCGCTCCCGCGGCTGCAACCTCCGCGGGCCGGGCCGGCTGGCTCGGCGGTTCAGGCCCGGAGTCCCGCGCGAGGCGACCTGCGCAGACAGGCAGAGCCGTCACCGAGCCCTCTCGGGAGATCTGCCGATAAGTGGGACGGCTTCCGAGCAGCTCTGCATGTGCTCTCCTAAGCTGGAGACGCCAGGTCTCGGCTCCGCAAAGCCGGGTGGGGAGGAAGCTTGGCCCCGCCCCCAGGGGAGGGCCCGAGCCCGCCCCTCCCCCTGCCCCCTCCCCCGACTCCGGGGGCTCGAGGCCTGCGGACCCCGAGGCGCGTCCCGGTGCAAAGCCGCGACCCGCGGCGCGTCCACTTCGCGCGGGACGCACAGAAGAGCTCCCCGAACTTGAGAAGCCGCTCCGCGCTGCCGCCACCACTTGGGATAGGGGTACGTGAAGAAACAGGAAGGGACCTCTGCGCTGATTTTGCAATTAATGAAAGCCCCAAGTCCCTTGGGGCCCTTTTCTGAAATCCACGTTTGGCTTTATGCCCGCGTAGGAACGCTGGTCCCAAAGGAACTTCAAAATCTGCATATAATCGCGACTAAAATACGGAAAACCGTGATTGACAAAATACGTCTTAGCTCCTTTTTCTTTCTTGTTTTAAAATTTTTTCTTCTAGGTATCATTCGCCTAGTTCCTTTTATGTTGACTACAGCAAATAAGGGGTGTTGCCCCCAAACATTTACCCCTGGGCGCAGCTGGCTGGAGCCGGGCATTGTGGTTCACCCTAAAACACAGCCTGAGACCTCAGACGCTGACAGTCCCCGCTCCAGCCTCCCCCTCTAAGCTGGTGACCCGAGCACAGAGGACACAAGTGCTGGGGCAGAACACCTGGTCGCAGCATCCCTCACCTTTAGCTAGAGAACCCCTCAAAACACAACTCTATTTAGTAACAAGAGCCCTGATGTCCTTTACTTGGATGTACCTTTTAAGTTCAATATTCCCAGATTTTATTAGTAAGAAAATGGTTGCAGGTTTGGGATGCCCAGTTTAATTTCCCCCAGGCCCACCAGAGATGCTTCTGATGATGGATGTAGAGGATGAATTCTGATGTTTTTAAATAATGAGGTAAAAATATTCTACAATTAATGAAGGGGAGGGAAGGCAAAATAAGGGATCTGAAATAATCTAATCAAGAACGTGAATATGTTTTCTAGTGATTTTGAAATAAGTATAATAAAGAAAACAAGATTTTTTTAATTATTATTTTTTGTAGAGAAGGGGTCTCTCTATGTTGCCCAGGCTGGTCTCAAACTCTTGGCCTCAAGCGATCCTCCAGCCTCAGCCTCCAAAAGTGCTGGGACTGCAGGGGTGAGCCACAGCACCCAACAGGAAATAAGATGTTAAACACCATATGTTTGTATCTAAGTGTCAGTGGTAATTGAGAATTTATTTCAAAGGGAAAAGAAACTCAAGTACAATAAATGTGAATGACTAGAGTTAATTTATGCTGTTATTCATATTTCATAGATATTTAATATTAAATAAAATTCATATAAAACATTGAATAAAATCTGTCAGCCATTCATAGCCCTGGTATCCACCTCACACTCACACTTAAACTAATGCTTGTGGGCACGAGTTGGCAGTGTTGCAGGCCCCATCACCTAGAGCACATTACCATATTTTAAAAAAAAATAATTGTCCAGAAGAAACTAAGTGGTCAAATATACATATAACAATTAGGAAGTAATTTTGCCAGACAAAGCATAACTGTATAAACAGATTAAAATATGTTTCATTGTTGTTCTTGATGGAATAATGTTAAGTAGCACACATGAATCAAATACAATACAATATAATGAAGTCATAATAAAAATATTAGCAAATTTTAAAATTTTTATTATTTTTTGAGACAGAGTCTCACTCTGTTGCCTGGGCTAGAGTGCCGTGGTGTCAGCCTAGCTCACAGCAACCTCAAATTCCTGGACTCAAGCAATCCTTCTGCCTCAGCCTCCCGAATAACTGGTACTACAGGCATGGCCACATGCCGTATATTATTTTCTATATATTTTAGTTGGCCAATTAATTTATTTCTACTTTTAGTAGAGACGGGGTCTCGCTCTTGCTCAGGCTGGTCTCGAACTCCTTAACTTAAAGGATCCGCCCACCTCGGCTTCCCAGAGTGCTAGGATTACAGGCGCGAGCCACCGCGCACAGCCCAGCAAATTATTTTGCAAGGTTTCAATCACAAGTGGTTAGTAAAAAGTAATACAGGTATATGGAAATGATATGCCATTAAAAAAAAAAGGTAATACAAGTAATAACTATTGTCCCGAACAATTTTCTATAGATCACATTTTTGTAAGCTAACAAATTTTCTAATGATTAATTAGGTTAGAATCATGTACTCCATTTAAATCATTTAGTGCTAATAAAACAGTCTTCTAAAATATAGTGAATTGGAACAATCAGTCTAGAAAACAATATCGTATTGTTCAATAACATTGAACATGCACGTTTGCTTTTATGACCTAGCAATTCTGAGGAATGCACTCAGAAAGAACTTTCGTATGAGTAGCAGGTGTCACGCATAAGAATGTTCACAGAGGCTGGGCGTGGTGGCTCACGCCTGTAATCCTAGCACTTTGGAGGGTGAGGCGGGTGGATTTGCTCAAGGTCAGGAGTTCAAAACCAACCCGAGCGAGCCCGTCTCTA